GCCCTCCGTCCTGCCCTCCACTGGATGGGCACCAGGGCGCCGTGTCTGTGTCCCCCTCACTCACAACGGAGTCCGAATGGACGTCTCCTGGTTGTCCTCGTCCACCTTGAAGAAGCTGACCGCGGAGTAGGCTGGCAGCTGCACTCGCCTGACGCCCACTGAGATCTGCAAGACCCGGCCGTTCTCATCTTCCAGGAGAGAAGCAGGAGAAGCCCTCAGACCGTGCCGCAGCAAACGCAGGCTCGGGTCTCCCTGGACTGCGCCGGGGGCAGGGGCCATGGTGGGCTTTGGTGGGGCAGTGCTTAGGACTGGGCCGGCCGCTGGTCAGGCCCTGCCTGCCTCCTCCAGCCTCTACTCCTCCCCTGGGCCGCCAGAGGTCTCCCCGCAGCCCTGGGGTCCCTGCTGCCCCTCGCTCGAGTCCTGGAGCCCGGGGCCCCTATTCCGGGCCTCGGAGCACTCTGGCCCCGTCACTGCACTGGCATCCCACCTGCACATGCTGGGAGGGCCTCTCCGGGATAACCAGCCCCTCGGGTCACTATGCCGCACACCTGGCCCGCAAAGGATACCGCAGGGAGCCGTGTCCAAGGCTGACCTCTGTGGGGTCCTCGTCACCTTGGGCAGACATCACAGCTCTCTGTCCTTGCCCATCCCCCACCTTGACCCCAGGGGTGGGCCCCCCTACCGAGGTACCCAGCGCAGGGCCTGGCACACAGTTGGTGCCCACTAAGTGCCTGCTGAGCGGGTGCATGAGCATCGCCAGCACCAGCTGCTGTGGGGGCAGGTGTTGCAGCCCATGGGTCCTGCCCCAGGGAACCTCAGGCTGCAGGCAGCTCCCAGAGGACGGTGCCGAGGAGTGAACACCACCGTCCCCCCGAGTCACTGAGCACAGAGCTCCTGGGCCCTGCCGGGCAGGCGGGGGTGGCGGAGCTGGGGGTCCGCCACAGCCAGGGACCTGACAGAAAGGAGTGCTGGGCAGCTGGCAGTGTGGCTTGGGCACGGGGGAGGGGCAGGGCGGCCGTGCCCAAGAGGGCCAGGAGGAGGGGGAGGGAGGCCAGTCCTGAGCTCCCAGAGTGGGTGCTGCATGTTGGGACAGGCTTCGGACTCGCGGAGGAATCGCGGAGTGACTGGGTTTCTGAATGCTTAGGACACGCAGAGCAGCAGACACAGGTGGGCTCCCGCCGGAGGCCGCAGGGGAGAGGGGCCCGACGCGGGGGCTGCCTCCTGGGGACCGCCGGTGAGCGTCAGGTCCTCCCCCCACACGCAGGGCCCAGGGGCTGGTCCTGTGGACTCTGCGAGGTCCAGGCCCCGTGGGGAAGGAGAGGCCGGCAAGAGCCGCTGGCCAGCACCAGCAAAGGCTTCACTGTCCGGCCTCTCGTGCCACTACGGAAAAGGCAGCACAAGGGACAGATACCAGCAGTGCCTTTGGCCGGGGGAGAGAACACGTCAAACATAGCGTTAGAAATCAGTGTGGTCTGATCGCCGTCTGTACCAGGAGGAGTCGCTGGGACCACTCTTCCCTCCTACTCAAAACAGCCCAAAGAGCAGACAAACTGTAATTAACATGTTTTCAAGACCCTGGGCACCAGGCAACTGAGGACAGTGGCCCTGGGAAGGCGGGAAAGACAGGGTGTGAGTCTGTGACTGCCCAGGCTACCGCCTGGAGAGAACGTTCGGGGTGGTTAGGTGCAGAGAGGGGGAACTGAGGCAGAGCCCAACAAATCCCCTCACTTGAGAAGAGGAGCTGATAATCTGGGGGGTCACGAGGCACAAGGTCAAAGTTTTAGCGTTCGGACGACAGGTGGCCAGGAGGAGAGCGTTGCCCAGACAGTAGACCCTGGCGGTCGGCGGGGGCCCCCGAGCACCCGGCAGGGCACAGATCAGCACACGCACGTGAGGACACTCTGCGAGGCCGGGGAAGAACCGCCTGAAGGACTCAGAGGGACCACGGCCCAGGGCTCCACAGGGCTGGGCGTGGTCCTCGTTCCATCAGCCAGGCTGGAAAACTCAGAAGTCACAGAAACTGGGTAGTGTTCTCAGAAGGGTTTCGCTTCAGTAATGGGGAATAATTAGTCTGAGGCAGAGCTCTCCTCCAGACCTGTCTAACAGATCATAAAAGCAAGACCCGAAAGGATTACACTGTCTCCAAGTAACTTAACTGTGGCCCAGAACAAAGCTCCAGAATATTTACAGGAATACAGAAAACGTCCAACACCCAGCAAGGTAACATTTACAACGCCTGGCATCTAATCAAAGATTATCAGGCACGAAAAGAATGCAGGAAAGCACGGCCCATAACGAGGAGAAAAATCGATGGATTGAAACCAACCCAGAACTGACACAGATGTTAGAATTAGCAGAAAAGGACGTTTAAAAAGTTGTTATTATTATAACTGCATGCCATGTGTTCCAAAGTGAAATAGAGACAAGGAAGATATAAAAAAGAACAGAGTCAAACGTCTAGAGATGAAAACCACCCTGGATGTGACCCACAGCAGCCCCAGGGTGGCAGGAGGAAGGTCTGTGAACCTGAAAACACAGCCGACTGCGGGCAACGCGGGGTGGGGGCATCGGCCCGCGGCAAAGTCAAAAACTTGTGGATAATTTTTGACTTCCCCAAAATTTTACTAATAACTTATTGTTGACTGGAAGCGTTACTGATAACATCAACAGTCGATTAACACATATTTGGTGTGTTACATGTTTTAAATACCGTATTCTCACAACAAAGTGAGCTAGAGAAAATAAAATCTTATGAAGAGAAAATGTATTTGCTATCCTTACATGCAAGTGGATCACCATAAAGGACGTCATTCTTATCATCTTCGTGCTGAGGAGGCTGAGGGGAAGGAGGAAGAGGAGGGGTGGGTCTCCTCGTCTCAGGGATGGTAGAGGCGCAAGATCTGCACGTAGGTGGACCCACACGGTTCCAGTCTATGCTGTTCAAGCCTCAACTGCACAGCTATAGAAACTGCCCTAAAGAAAACGTTGAGAAAACAAAGAATAAAAAAGGAAAAAAAGAAGGAAGTAGGGAGGAAGGGAGAGAACCAGTGAACAGTGGGGCAATTTCAAGCAGCCCATACATGGGTGATACATAGGAGAGGCTGTGACAGGAAATTTATTGGAAGAAATGGCTGAAAACTCCCAAATTTGATGAAAGCCTACAGAGGCAAAAAGCCAAATGAACCCCAAGCACAAGACACACAAAGAACATGATACTATGTCACATCAAAATCAAATTGCTCAAACCATTGATAAAGAGAAAAAGCTCTTGTTTCTACAGAGAAACAAACACAAGGATGACGGCAGATTTCTCGTCGGAAACAATGCAAACAAGAAGACAATGGAGCGACATCTTTAAAGGACTGAAAGATGGAATTTTGTCTCTGGAAAAATATCTATCACGAATGAAAGCAAAATCAAGATGTTTCCAGTCGAACAAAAGCTGAAAGAATTCCTCACCAGCAAACCTGTACCACAAGAAATTGTTAAAGATTAAGTCCTTCAAGGCAGGCGGGGTGTGGCGGCTCATGCCTGAAATCCCAGCACTCTGGGAGACCGAGGCAGGAGGATCGCTTGAGCCCAGGGGTTTGAGACCAGCCTGAGCAACATAGCCAGACCCTGTTCCTACAAAAAATGAAAAAATTAGCCAGGTGTGGTGGTGGCACCTGTAGTCCCAGCTACTTAGGAGGCTGAGGCAGGAGGATGACTTGAGCCCGGGAGTTCGGGGTTGCAGTGAGCTGTGATTTCGCCACTGCACTCCAGCCTGGGTGACAGAGTGAGACTCTGCCTCAAAAAATAAAATAAAATAAAAACCAAAAAACTTTCGCTAGTCAAAAGACAGCGTTAAGAAAATGAACAGATAAGCCACAGGTTGAAAGAGAACATTTGCAAAGATACACCTGATGAAGAACTTATATCCAGAGTACATAAAGAACCTTAACTCACCAATAAAAAGACAATGTAATTTTTAAAAATGGGTGAAATATTTGGATGGCTGTTTCTCCAGAGATCTGCAAACGACCACCGCGCACGTGAAAAGCAGCTCAGCGTCGTTAGTGGTCAGGGAAATGCAGATGGAAGCCGTCGGGAGATCCCACTTCACACCCACGGGGTGGTCACTGCCGGACGGGCAGAGGGTGCCAAGTGCTGACAAGGGCGCGCAGGGGCCAGCGCCCCGGCTCGTTGCTGGCGGGATTGTAAAAGGGAGCGGCCATTTTGGAAAAATGGTTCAGCAGTTAAACATGAATCTACCACATGGTCCAGCCATTCTGCTTATAGGTACACACTAAGAGAAACGAAAACCTACGTCCACACAAAAACTTGTACACGAATGTTCCGAGTGGCATTACTCCCAACAGCCCAAGGCGCAGACCACTCCAGTATCCATCAGCTGACGGGCTATGGGCTAAGGGAACACTGCTCCTCCACGAAGAGAAAGGGAGTCTCACACACACACACACACACACACACACACACACACACACACACACACACACACTTGCACGCATGCACACGTGTGCACACTCGTTCATGCGTGCACACGCTTGTGCATGTGTGTACGTTCTCGCACACCCATGCCCACGGCTGCCCCCTGCTGGCAGGAGCCCCTGCACGCCTGCTGTCCCTTCTGCTCCGCTCCGGGCAACGGGGACTTCTGCGCCGTCACCACCGGGAGTCAGGAGCCCCACATGGCACCTCGTCTGCGTTTCCCCTGCTTAAGAACCTGACGCTGTTCGTCTCTGGGAAAAGGCAGGCCATCCTCCCCGAGACACTTACTCTTGGCGACCTCCCCACTGTCCTGCTGCAGCTGAACCTTCAACGTGAAGGAGGATCCTTGGGCCACTTCCATCACCTCTGGGCCCAGAATCACCATCCTCGTGGCTTGTGCTGGAGACAGGAGAGTGTGGCATTAGCGGTGGCTGGGAGCGCGCCTCGGGAATCCGCCCCCCATCAGAGGTGCTCCCGGGGGGAGCTCGTGCGACAGCTACAGGCACAAGCACGGCCGTCACCGCAGAGAGTGACCCCGTAGTCATTAAAAGGAAGACGTGAGGGTCTGCTGTAACAACCCGAGCACTGCTTTTCCAAACAGCGCCGAGCACACTAAACGAACGGCAGGGGTCCCCCGAGCACTGAAGGGGCGGAAGTGAGGGATGCAGGGGCCTTTGGGTGTTCATGCCAGTGGAATGTTCCGGCAAGTCTTCCGGCTGGTGGGGACTCAGGCCCTGCATTCCCTGCGTCCTGAGTCAGCCCTGGAGGTGTGGACGCGGGGCTGCCAGAGCAGGGCCTGGACAGGGCGGGCTCCTGAGGGCCGGCTGGCGCCTCCTGGCGGCCAGGGCCACCCCTGCTCCACCGGACCACGGTGTCGCTGCTGTGGGAGCAGCCAGAGCCGGCTTTGCGCCCAGGTCCCACTGCCCCGCACCCCCTACGGAGCCACCTCTGTCAAAGCACAGGGAGGCCTCAGACGCCATCGCGGGAAACGCTTGGCTCTGCGCCAGGCCGACCTGAGCCGACAGAGCGAGATCCACCTGCGACGCGCCGGGGGAAGCTGCAGTCTCGGGCGCAGAGCGACAGGGCGCCCCAGGGAGCCAGGCTGGGGGTGCTGGGGAAGTGCCCCGGGCATCTGCCCCCCAGGCGGCTCCCTGTGGTGCTCTGGGAGGATCTCGCTGCCCCGGGGAGACCCCACCGGGTGGATGGAGGCTGCGAACCAGGCCTCCCGCCTGGCTCCCGCCTGGGGACCCTCTTCTCTCAGGTGAGGTCACCAAGACACTCCGGTGGGCCCGGGGCCCCGGGGGAGGCTCCAGCTGAGGAAGGGTGTCGGCGGGCCAGGCCCCTTGGGGATGCCCTCGGTGCTTGTGGTGTCAGGGGCCCGCCCTGTGCTCCCAGCCACTCCCACCCCTGCCTCCGCCAGGAGTCTGTGCCGGGGCAGCTGTTGCCATCCTGGTGCCCACCCCAGGTGGCGCGGGGGGCTGCCCGGGCCCAGGCCTCCTGGTGCCATCGGCAGAGCCAGAGTCAGCTCTGAGCACCTACCTGCGTGTGCGTCACAAACTTGGCACCAAGGTTTGGATGAACAACTCGTGTCTCTGGCCAGACTGACCCCTGGGGAAGCACCCTCACCCACAGTCTATGGAGAGGCTGCCCAGATGCCACCAGGAACAGCACAGGGCATGGGAAAGTGGCCTGGAGAGGCAGCCCTCAGCGGAGGCCAAACTGGTTGGCCCCTTTGTGGGCCATGGGCCACCCTGTGGCCACGTCACAGTGTAGAGAGCTCGGGGGAGCTGGACAGGCAGCATAGACACTCAGGCCACCCAGACACTCAGGCCCATGTGGCTGGAAGGCCCGTGGCTGGGAGGGCCGTGGCTGGGAGAGGCCACTTGCAGCAGGACCACTTGGGACCGAGGTCTGTCTCAAGGCCTCTGCTTGTCCACAAGCCCTTTTGAAATCAAACTGGAACATGTTTTTTCTAAAAAGGGGAGGGATTTTACTTTATTTTATTTTCATGCCCCCGAAGGGAGAGATTTAGATTCCACTTCATCCCAGCCTCTCCCCAGTGTGCTCTGAGACCGATGCCTCCCACGTGACTGCCGGGGCTGGGCCATGACCCCACAGTGGACGCACAAGGCCAACAAGACGGCTGGGGACACCTACCCGCTGGGTGGCCGTTGATCCACAACCCGCAGTAGACGACTCCCGAGCAGTGGGCCATGCTGCCCAGTCCACTGAAGACGTCACTGTGCCACTGTCCCTGCAGAGAGAACCGCGAGGCCTGAGGCCGGGGCCTCCTCAGGGACTCATGTGGCCCTCGGGGACCACAGGCTGCTGAAAAACCCCATCGTCCTGAGGGCCCGGCAGCCTTTCCTTTGGCGGCGAGAAACTACGTTTTATTAGAATTTGATTCCATTTGCTTTGCAAAATATACTCCCTTTTGAATGTTAACGATGCCAGGACCTGTGGGAACAACGCGCAGCACAAATGCAAACAATCGCCACCTCACGGCGCACTCTCAGCACGAACCCTGTCCACACAGAGCTGTTGTGCCGTGTCGCACGGGAGACCCAGACCTGCAGACCACAATGCCGCAGTGTTAGGACCACGGTTGCTGGCTGTTCGTCACGCCGCTCGCTTATAAAGAAAAAGGCCAATTAAAACCACACACCCGGGAGGGGTCCGTCCCTGCACCCCCAACGCTGCCTCCCCCGCCGTCCGCCTGCGTTCTGAACCACACTCACACGGAAGTGGAAAAATGAGGTGAAGTAGCAGGAACATTATTTTCACGGAAAATTTCAAGATCGTAATGGTATTTTATTTCACTACAAATGACTTCTATTAGAAGAAAAATTAACCAAAGGCACGTTTTTGTTCTATTCACTCTTCTGCAGAAGTTAATTGGGCTCTTGCTTCCCTGCTGGCCCTCCCGGGCGCCTGTTCTCGTGGGGCCCAAGACAGGGCTGCAGGGCTCAGGGACAGCCTTTTGGGGCTTCTCCAGGGACCCCAGACCTGGGACGTGGGGAGGGAGCGCAGTGAGGGTGGGAGCAGCGGACAGTGTGATCTCTCCTGGGACACGCTGGGAAAGCCTGGGGTCAGCTGCTCCGGGAGCCGGGTCACAGCAGGAGACAGCGCCAGGGGGGCCCAGGGCTGCGGCAGGGGCGGGGCAGCCTGCAGCTGCTGCCCCGGAGCGGCTCATGCCTCCAGGCCGGGGGCGCTGAGACAGCTGGCAGCCCGTGTGGGCGCCTGGCAGTGGCAGCACAACAACTCCCAGCTCCAGGAGAGGCCGGGTTGCCCGCTGGGGGCTGGGTGGCAGAGGCACGGCTGCCACCATAGACAGGGCCCTTCCTCCTGAGGTCCCCCAAGCCACCCCACCCCAGGAGGCTGTCTTGGAGCCACAGGGGTGACCTTGTCCCCCCAGCACCAGATCCCAGGCTCTGCCCCGAGGCTGCACCAGCTGGGTTCCTGGAATGCTCCGTGCCGGGCGCTTGGCTGGCGTCACCCCGACAACCCACGATGGGAAGAGCCAGGGGTCACTGTGCTCTGGGCCCCCGGGGTGAGCTGCCGCGGCGCCGACAACAATGGCTGTGAGGCCCCAGAGCCTGGCCACGACCCAGGCCACACGTGGGTGAGGTGAGGTGAGAGGGGTCTGTGTGCAAACGCCCAGAATCGGCTCCGGAGCTCTCAGCTGCACCACCCACCACTGCCCGGCGTGCCCAGAGCCGCACCCCGCGCCCCCAGGACCCGCCTGCGCAGGCCTCCTAGGTCTCCTGCATGCACCTCCACCCACACTTGTGTCTCTACTCGTGTCCACGCCGGGACCCTCTGAGGGCTGGCGGTGAGCTCATCACTCCGCCGCCACCGCGAGCGAGGGCTCGATCAGCGCGAGGCTGACAGGCCCTTCAGAGGCGCCTGGGGCCCACGTCACCGCCAGTAACGGAATTGTGATGCTTCTACCATCTGGAAAGCACCTCGGAGGCAGGTGTGGGCATAAGTGGCCACGTGCCTGTCCACGGGGGAGCACCTGCTGGCAGGAGGAGCCAGACACGCGCAGGTCACAGAGATGCGCAGGGGTCCAGGCGCTGGCAGCTGGCTGGAGACGCGCACACCAGCAACCTCAGGTCAGGGCTCTGCCTCGCGGTGTCCGCCCCCGAGCGAGGGCGGGCGGCCCCAGAACCCGAGGCCACGCAGCAGGTCGGGGCACACCGGCATCCGGGTGAGCAACGCCGCTAACTGACGGCGGCGGCGTCTCGTCTGACGCTCCGAATCACGCACTTGCAAAGTCTGCCGCTCCCCAGTGAGTCGACACGCACCCAAAGCGTAAACAAATACGTATTAACACGGTGTCGGGGGAGGTTCCTCGCCACACCTGCTGACGACACAGGTGACGGCCCGGCCAAGAGCCCTGGTGCGGCCACCTCCTCCTGCTGGGCCCCCAGGCAGCGGGACAGGGCCCGGCGTGGGGCTCCCCCGTGGCGAGGCTGGGGACCCAGAAGTGGGGTGTGCACGGTGCTGCAGACATAAACCCCCAGAGGCCAATGCCACCTGCTTTCTTTCCTCCCTGCTGGCGATGCCTGGCACCCAGGTGAGGACAGGTGTGGGGCGGGGGACACAGTGCGTGGGGCCAGGTCCACACCCAACTTGAGCAGAACCGAGGTGAACAGTGGACTCAACATCAGGACATGGTCACGCGGGAATGGACTGAAGCCCAACAAAACCCTTGGTTGCCGAGGCAACCCCAGGCCCTGAGGGTGACGCTCCGTGACGGGGACAACGGGAGACGGGCCCCGCACAGCTTGGCCCTCCCACCCCTGCCTGCCATGCTGGGGCTCCCTCCCAACTCCCATGGCTGCGGCGGAGCACCCAGCTCCCCACACGGCCGCCCGGACCCCGTGGGCTCGGTGACTTCCTCATCGATGCTTTTGATGATCCCGGCTGCGCTGGGCTGGGGGACTGCTTTGGTGCTGTCGCAACTACGGACGAGCTGGTGCTGTGGTTCACGCCTGTAATCCCAGCATTCTGCGAGCCGGGACGTGAGCAACGCTTGAGGCCAGGAGTTCATGACCAGCCTGGGCAACACAGCAAGACCTCCTCTCTACAAAAAATTTCTAAAAATTAGCTGGCCGTGGTGGCGAGTGCCTGTAGTCCCAGCTACTGGGGAGGCTGAGGCAGGAGGATCACGTGGGCCCAGGAGTTCGAGGCTGCCATGAGCTATGATCACGCCACTGCTCTCTAGCTGGGGCGACAGAGTAAGACTCTGTCTCTTAAAAAAATAAAAACTACAAATAATTTTTTAAAAACTGAGCTGGAATGGGTTGTAAGAAGTGAGTACTTGACTCCTTTCTCATTTCAGGAGACACTTCCTAGTTAACGACGCTGTTTCTCTTTCTGAGACTGTCCTGGAAATGACTCTGGCTGTGACGTCTCCTCCTGTTTCCAGCACCCCTGGGGCACGCCGAGTCTCTGTCCTTGTCACAAGTCCATCTGCCCGGGGCTGGCCAACACGCCGGGGGAGCCGGGCGGGCCGAGGGTGGGCTCCGATGTTTGTGGTCCGGAGGCCGTGACCCCCCCAACCATTGCCAAAAGTCCGGCCTGCAGCAGGTGAGGCCTTTCGCTGAGGTCACCGCCTCCCGCGGCCGGTGGGGGCCTGGGGACCAGCCGCCCAGCCCCCTCAGGTCACCCCGCACATAAGGATCCCGCCGGACCCTCCTGCCTGGGCCCTGCAGCTGCTGAGGGGACTGGAGCCTGGGGGGCCCTGCCCAGCATAGTGGGATGGGTGCCCCCCCAGTCTTCAGGGACAGGCATCTGCCCTCACCCCCAGTTATCAGTGGGGCCACCGGGCACCGTGTCTGACCTCCCTGGGCCCAGTCACGCACAGTGTGACCTGCCAGGCATCCTGCTGGTGCTGAACCAGCTGCGCCGACACCCGCCGACATCCGAACCCACAGTTCCCTGGAGGCTCTGGCAGCCGGGCCCTCCTCCGCCCCAGGGTGGGGGCAGGAGGTGCGGTTTGCAGAGATGCACCTGCTGCCAGGAGGCAGCATTGGCCACTGCTTGACACCAAGGCCACATCCCCTGGGGGTGTCCACCAGCCCTGCCCTGGCACACCCTTCGGCGACCACTGACTTCCGTGGGAGCTGCTCTTGCCCAGGGTCTGGGGTCTTTTCTCCGAATCGGGAAAACCTGGGCCCAGGTAGGAGCTGTAAGGGATGGCCAAGGGCAAACCCTGATGCAAAAAAGAAAGACATCGGGGAGAAGCACACTACTCTCTAGTCCTTCTAGAAATTAAATGAATGAAAAGCAGAATGCTGGCGGCTGCGTGGGGTGCGGCGCACAGGGCAGCGCAGGGCAGAAGGGCCGAGAACCTGCCCGGGGCCTGGGTGGGGCCCAGGTGCAGCGGGGAGGAAGCGACAGCTCAAGCCCACGCCGAGGAGAATCCGCAGAGCTGCCGGGAAGAGTGAAGCCCCTTAGCTCGGGGCTCCGGGACCAGACTGGCCAGCGAGGGGCGGCCGGGAGACAGAGCGTGTGGCACCGCCGCAGAGGTGGCAACCAAAGGGCGAAACTGGGCACACGCCTGCGGCACGTGGGGCTTACATATTAATTGTTTTTGTTGTCACGAGGGCTGACGCTGATTAGGACGGATATTCAAAAAATAACAACAGAGAGAGTAACGTGTTGGTGAGGACGTGGAGAAATCTGAACCCTCGCGCACTCTTGGCGGGAATGTAAAATGGTGCAGCCGCCGTGGAAAACAGTGGCTGCTTCCTCGAAAAATTAGAAATAGAATTACCAGCAATTCCACTTCTGGTTATATACTTTGAAGAATCGAAAGCAGGGTTTCTAAGAGATATCTGCACGCTGATTTTTGTTGTTTCTTAGAGATGGGGTCTCGCTCTGCCGCCCAGGCTGGAGTGCAGTGGTGCCCTCACAGCTCACTGCGGCCTCCGACTCCTGGGCCGGAGCGATCCTCCCGCCTCAGCCTCCCGCATAGCGGGGACTACAGGTGTGCACCACCACCACGCCCGGCGAATTTTTGTAGAGACAGGGTTTTCCCATACTGCTCAGGTGGGTCTCCTAAGACTGGGCTGAAATGATCTTCCTGCCTCAGTCTCCCAAAGTGCTGGGGTAACAGGCGGAGCCACGGGGCCCGGCCCACACATCCACGTTCACGGCAGCCTTAGTCGCACCAGCTTAACCGTGGAAGCAGCACACGTGCCCACCCGTGGACGAACTGATAAGCAAAAGTGGTGCATGTACAGCGCGGTACCGTTCAGCCTTAAAAGGAATCAAGCCCTGACATGCTGCGGCATGGCTGAGCCTCCAAGACGTGACGCTCGCCGACATAAGCCAGTCACAGAAGGGCAAACGCTGTCGGGTCCCGCTGCCAGGAGGGCCCCGGAGCTGTTGGATCCATAGACAGAAGGCAGAACGGGGGTGCGGGGGGTGTGGACGGAGGGGAGTCGTGCTTCCTGGGGACAGAGCTGCGGCTGGGAAGATGAGACAGTTCTGGAGATGGTGGCAACGGTCGCACAAGGTGAGTGTGCTCAGCACCACTGAACTGTGCAGTTAGCGATGGTTCAAATGGCAAATTTTATGTGTGTTTTACCTGACAATTTTTTTTTCTAAAGAGGGCTAAACATTTGATTAGCGACACCCTAAGGAAAAACCATTCCTGCACTCGAGCCCCCACCCCGTGGCCTCCCCGCGCCGGGTTGATGCCTCTCACGCCTCACGCAGGGGCCCGAGGTGGAGAAGGCGCGTGACAGCCAGCCGGCGCCGAGATGCACACCTCGAGAGCCTAAGTGACGAGGGGCAGGTGACAGGCCTGGCAGTTAGTTTTCTCCGACAAACGGCTGTGTAGAAACCCCTGCTGCCTCTGCAGCGAGGTCTGAGGGGGCCCCGTGGGCCCCATCCTGATCCCGAGGGGCCAGGCGGCCCCGGGCGCCCTTCCTCATTCACGCGGTCTGGGCAGGACAAAGGCCTCCACTCGGCCACGCTGTCGCTGCGAGCAGGAGGCTGGAGGGAGCGTGGAGTCAGCAGCTGCCTGCACGGGACGCGTCTGCCGGCGACTGCAGGTCTGAGTGGCTATGCCACGCGGGCCACCGCGGTGCAGATGGGCGGCGTGTCCCCAGGGTGCTCAGGACCACGGGCCCGCCCTGGTGCATGGACGCAGCCTCGGAAACGGCCTGCAGGTAGCGCCCGTCCAGGCCAGCTGAGGTGGCCACAGTCCTCTGGGCCCAAGTCTTGGAAGGGCGGGATCGCCGGGCACCGTGAAACGTGGGCCGCACAAAGGTCTGCGCAAGGCCTTCCTATAAATCCTCCGCGAAACTTGCCGTGGAGTTCAAGGCTTGAGCACCAGGAGGGAAAACCAATCCGATCTGAAAAGCTCCCAGGCGGATAGAACCACGCGCAAGGCCGCCTCCCCAGGCAGGCCCGGCTCCCAGGCGTCCTCAGCCGGCCGCGTGGCCAGAGCCCGCGCAGTCACAGGGCATTTCCTGTCCGCCCAAATCGTCAGCTGGGAGCGAAGCCTCTCTAGCTCCCGGGGAGGAGACGCCTCTCCCACGAGGCCCGAGCCTGGGCGTGGTGCCCATCCGCGGGGCTGGGCTGCCCCCTGGTGGAGACGCTGAGGGTGCCCTGAAGCCCGTCAGCCCCAGGATGTGAAGGAGGGTGACGTCCCTACCCTGGGCCCTCTTGGCTTTTTGCAGGCTCAGGAGGGGAGGCCGGACTGGGGCCCAACAGTGCCCAGGCCACTGGTGACCAGTGGGCAGCCAGGGCCCAAGGTAGAGCCCTGGTGGTGGCCAGAGGACCCACGGTGTAGACCCTCCTCTGGGGACAGAGCTGTGAGGGAGGACAATGCCTTTCATGATTTTCTCACAGACGGGAGGGGCCTGGCACAGAGGGGCAGCGGGAACGGCTCCCCACTTCGCTCCAGGCAGAACCCAGCTGGGCCGACACACCCATGGGACGAGTCTTCCCCGAACCACAGGGACTGGGAGGGCCGAGTGTGCAGAGCAGGGGCCCCAGGCTGATGCCAGAACCCCAGGGACAAAGGCTGCTCTGCCCCTTCTGTTCGGGAGACCAGCTTCGTGCCTCAGTTTCCAAGGAGCACCCCGAGGGTTCTGCGAGCGGACGCGTGTGAAGAGCGTAGAACAGCGCCTGGAGTCCAGGGAGTGAAACCAACGCCACGACCTAACAGCTCTGGGGCTGCGCGTCAGACGCTCGGCCCACAGTCCTCCGAGCCCAGCAAGTGCGGTCCTGGGCAGGGGCCCAGGTGCGGCGGGGGGCGGGTGAGGGAGGCGCCCCTTGCCCAGCCCTGCAGAGCTAAGGAAGTGATTTGCGGCTGCCTGCGCCTCGCTGTAAAGGTCAGCCTGGGCTTCCACCTGGCCACGGCGTTTGCACACGAGCGCTGGTGAAAGCCGCCAAGGCACCAGCCCTGCCAGCAGGGGCTCGGGGAGGGCGCCGCCAATGACCAACTGCCTTGACAAGGGCTTTGCCATCCCAGGACTGGCCGGGCGGTGCTTTCTGTTCTGTCAGCAGGGAAGGTGGGCGGCCCCACAGGGGCCCAGCCCCTCCCCCCACCTGCTCCTGCTCACTGAGGGCTCCGAGCCAGCCCCAACACATCGCCCTCCGCGCCGCGAGGCTGGGCCCCGTGAACGGTTCTCCTCTGCCGGCGGGCAATGCCCGGCCTTGTCGAGAGGGCGCGGGTGCGACTCGGGGTGGGGGCTCCCTTTGCAGAGTCCAGGGTGTGTATTTAACTCCTCAGGCGAGGGGGCAGGGGCCTGAGGAGCACCCGCGGAGGTATCCCTTCTCTGGCCAGCATCTCCCGCACCCAGGGGTGGCTCCTGGGGAACGCTCCAGCCCCTGGCACCCTGGAACTCCACCACCTGGAGCTGCAGCTACAGCCACGCCCTCTCCATGGAGGTCAGAATCGGAATCGTAGGAGGGGGCTGGGCTCTTCCCAGTTCCGGGACATTCTTTCCCATCATTGCTCTAACTTTCACGTGAGACTCTTGGCAAGGACAGCGATTCAACCGACAGCGTGATTCTTCAGCCCACGCAATCAAACGCTGCGTTTCTCAGCAACACCAGCGCCGGGGCTCTAGGAAACCCGGGCTCCCTCGGCGTTGCCGTGGCAGCTCTCTGGCTCTCTGGCTGTGACTTGAGCAGAGGGTTAACGACCTGAACGTGCCGCCCCTTCCTGTCGGTGCCGTGGGATGCCCGGGGGACCCCGCCAGCCTCTCTGCCATCCCTCCTGTGGCGACAGCCCTCGGTTCCGTTGGTGCCTCGCAGCCGACCCAGGGAGAGCCTGGTTACTCGAGAAGCCCCCGCACGCCGTGGACGACCAGCCTCCCCGCCACGGGCCAGGAGCTGGCCCTGGACACAACCAAACTGGCCCCCAAGCCCCACCTTTGAGGGTGTCTGGGCCGCTCCTGTCTTTGCTATTTCCGGATTCTTTTATCCCTTTTGGTAGCCAGCCACCCTTTCCTCGTTGATAATTCTTTCCACTAAACTCCCCACTGAAGTGGCTGCTGTGGTTTCTGCCTCCTGACCGCATCCTGGGCCAGGTCCCACTGTCCATCCAGCGCTCAGGCCACAGCGAGGGGCCGTCCTCGACTCTCCTCTCGTCTCTGCCCGACACCCGACCTGCCGGCAAGCCCAGCGTCTCCGCCCAGCCGTCCTGAAGTCGCTCTGCACCGCATGTGGGCCACTGTCACCCTTCTTTGGGCAAATGTGGCGCCCTTCCCCGTCTCCAACTGAGAACCACAAGGAGTCAGGGGTCCGCCTGCCCTCCCAGGCTCCAGGCCGCAGCTCCTCCCCACGGGCCTGGGCCCATTTCCTCCCCCCACCCCCGCCCCGGGCTCCTCCTCCGCACTCGGCCTCAGCTCGAGGGCTGACACTTCCCGAGAGGCCTCTGCCGACCTGCTGGCCTGGGCGCTCCGAGCGCGTCCCCACGGGACTAGGGGAGCCACAGCACGTGCGCGCGTCCTCTCGCTGTCGGTGCCGGCGCGGGAACAGGCTGGCTGTTGCTCATTTTGCCCTGCCCAGCACATGCACGTGGCAGACACGTGAACCGTGGCCCTTGGGGGCCTGGAAAGGTCTCCCATGTGCCTGAATCTCCTCCACCCGCCTCGAAGGCGCCCGGAATCCCCACTAACCACCCAGGAGAGGGGCTGCCTGTCCCTCGACCCTAGGGCATTTCTCACCAAAATGCTCCTCTGAGCTGACGGCGCCCACCCCGTCGTACCCTCAAACGACTGACCCGTTTCCATGAGGTGACAGTTCCAGGAATCTGCTGTATGCAAGGGCTGGTGGGGGGAGGCAGGCGCCATCTGGAGCCCAGAAACTGAGTCACCCTCTGCGTGCCTCAGTTTTCTCATCAGTAAAATGAGCACAGGCATCGTTACGAACTGGGGTCTGCAGGAAGCCAGCATGTGCCACCCGAACATACGCCTCTGTGGCAGAAGGACTATTTTGAGCTGATTATTCTGAGAAACTGCAGACACAGGAAGTAGAAGTTTCTCTCTTGTAAGAAAAATCGATGTCCATCACGGAAACCTCCGTTTGTGAGGCTGTCCCCTCCGCGCCAGGAAGAGAGGGGTGACCCCAAACCCCTAGACTTGCCAGCCGGGGTGGCCCCAACTTAGATCCGCAGCACAAACCGCACCTGTCTGCTGTGCCGTCCTGGCCCCTCCCCACTGCTGCCCTGACACCCTTCCCTCTGTTTCGGTTGAGACGGCATCCACGCCAGGGGGCAAAGCCACTGCTCTGATGTGCGCTCATTTCCCTGGTGTCTCCGGTGTACCCACCGGGCACGCAAGTTAACAAACTTTTGTTTGCTTTTCTCTGTTTGTCAATTTGCCTTTGGTGCAGGGGTCTGTCCAGCTGAGGGCTGTGCAGAGGAGAGGGACACTGATCCCACGCTCCGTTCCGAGGAGCAGAGGAACTGGCGCGTGTCAATTCCAAACACCCAAGAGCGCCAGCGCCGGGCCTCACCCCCACTCCCTGGATACCTCGTAGACGGAGCCGTCCGCACAGCTCAGCACCCCATGTCCCTGACGCTGGTCCCGGACCCAGTCGCCGTCATACTTGTCACCGTTCCTGAGGGACAAGCACAGAGGCCGCTCAGCCGAGGAGGCCAGGTGGCAGCGGTGACTCAGACCAGCTGCCCCGACCCCGCTCAGCACATACCACCCGGAAACGCGGCAAAAATAGGCCCTGAGCAGATGGCCCCGAGAGCTCCTGCCTCGCCAGGGCCGGCTGTGGGGCTGGTGACAGGCAGTGGGGACATGGCTGCCACCCCCAGCCTTGAGGGCAGGCCTGCTTTCCAGGGCAGTGGGGAATGGGGGTCCTCCAAGCCCCAATGTGGCTCCACCCTCCCACCAGCCTGGCCTTCCCAGGAGGTATTTTAATAGGGTGGGGGCAGGTGTTGATGTTTTTTCTATTAAATGCACAATCAATTTCATTAAGTAAGGGGAAAAAGACAGAATGACACGAAAACCACAGAATGTACTTAAACAACTGGGCGTTGGGGGGAGGATCACCCACAGAGGCTGGAAGCCGGGGTGCCTCGCCCACCCGCCAGCCAGGGCAGCTCGAGCAGCCAGCTGCTAGCCGACGCCTCCAGGACGCGCACTCACTGAAAGAGCATCTGCCCACGGCCGTGCCTTCTGTTGCTGTGGAACGAGCCCTGGTACACTTGTCCAGCCTGGTCCACCAGGAAGCCGTGCCCTGGGGAAGGGACCGAGAGAGATGAGCTTTGCTTTGGCCTCCAGTGCGGGCGGACCCTGTTCCCAGCTCCTCCTGCCTCTGAGAAGGGACTTGGACCCCTGCCCTGGGCGTGCAGGTGGAGGAGTGTGGTGAGCTCTGGGCAAGGCCGGGGCTCAGGCCCCCCAGGAGCCAGATGGTCCTCCAGGCCAGGCTACGAGGAGGCCCTGGGCACTGCCCGGGACAGGGACGGCAGGTGTCACTTGGCACAGTGCCGGTCGCCTGCGGCGCCAGTGAGTGGCGCCAGGGTCCAGTCCTGAAGGCTGGGGGTGGCGGAAGGGGCCCCTCAGTCCCACATCTGTGACCCAGAGTGCTCTCCCGTCCTGCTGGGGCAGTGCCGCTGCGCGACCGGGGCCTGTCTGCGCATCTGTCGGCAGGTTTACGAGAAAGCTCCACGTCACGGCTAGAAGGGAAACGCCTGGCCTGCGCGATCTGCTCAGAGCACTCTGATCTGAAAGGTCAGAGGAAAGACTGAGGGGATGGGGCTTCAGTAAGTTGTAGGGTGCTTTCAGATTGTGGATAATTCAGAAATCCAGGGATATTTCTACTTGTTCACATAAGGAAATGCTGGGAAAAGGCAAGGACGTACCCGGGCCACGCTGGCTCAGCCGAGGAGAAGGCACAGCACAGAGCCCCGCGCCTGGTGCATGTGGGGGGTCGTGAACCTGGCCTCCCGACCTGCTTTGGCCGACGGAACACGGAGGCAGGGACCACAGTATCTGAGGCTGCTCCCCTGGAGCGGGGCTTCCCAGGCCTGTGAGGACCTCAGGGGCTGTCAAGGCCCGGCTGACCGCTGCGTGTGGGCACCAGCGACCCCGTGTGAGACAGAAGACCGGCCCGGTGAAGCCCAGGCCACACTGCTGACCCCAGGATCGTGAGCAAATAATTAAACGTGGCTGTCTTAACCACGACGCTATGGGCGGTTACATAGCAGCAGATAACCGAGGTGTGGCGAGTGTCCCAGGACACGGTAGGCTGGGACCCCACCGGGCACAGTGGCTCGAGCAGTGGGACACACAGAACAGTAGCAGACGCAGCCTGGGGACAGAGAGAGGAGGGCTCAAGCCCCCACCTACTTCCCCAACCTCTAAAGTCAGGCCGGGTCAGTGGTTCCCAAACCTGAGCGGACGTGAGATTCTGCCCCTCCCAAGCGCCCTGCCCTGCACAGCGCCAGCGAGTGCTGTGGACATCAGACCTTCCCGCAGGCCGTGGGCGACCTCCCCTTCGTAATATCCACCGGCTTTGTACTTCACAACGCCGCGTCCTTGAGGCTCTCCCAGAACAAACTGTCCGGAGTAGGTGTTTCCTGATGCGGACAAGGAGAGGGGGAAACAGGTGTTCAGGCCAGAGCTGTGTCCCGCACGCCCAGTGCACTAACAGTCACCTCCTCTGTCCCCTGGCCGGTGGCGGCTGCAGGTACCATTTCAGAATGGACATCCGTGTCTCTCATTGCTCAGTCTGGCAAATGAGGGAGAACATGGTGAGATGGGTCTGGCCCTCCCCCTACAGCTGTGGGCATGACGGCCCGAGGCTGGCGCTCTGTGGGCATCTGTATGCACAGGATGCACTGCGCTGTGCCCAAAGGCAAAGGCCCCTCCCAGTCAGAGACTTAGGGGTGAACCCTCTCCCAGGCTCCTTAAAAACCAACCAAAAGCCGAGCCCCAGAGAAAAGCTCCCAACTGAGGACCGACCCCCCATCTGCCTGTGAGGGTCTGAGGTGCCCAGAGACAGCCCTGTGTAGCTGGAGTGGGAGTCACCGCAGCAGTTTTCTCCTCTGGGGACAAATGTTGCTGAAATAACTTTAAATAAAAAAGGAAACAATATAGCTCTGGATTGATAAATCTTTATTCCAACAAAGCCTTATGGGGAAGTCAGAGCTGCCAGTCAGGTGAACACAGAGCCTCAACCTGGGGTCCCCACGGCATCCCTCACGGGCATAAAAGCCATGCGAGCTGCGGGGCACCTCGGCTGCCCTGCCGCACCTGGCGTGCTGCTGTGATGAGACACGGCAGGGGAACCAGAGGCTCCTGTGTCCAGAAGCGAGAGACCAACTGACCCGAGGCGGTTTCTGAGAACTCGTCACCCATCCCCAGAGCTAACCTGACCAGGCCCAGTGCTGGCAGCCTTCTCCCGTGATCTCTCCGTCCACAAACTCTCCTTCGTAATAACTTCCATCTTTAAACAGCAGTTTCCCGCGACCTAATAAAAGACACGGTACCGTGAAGCCACCCATAAAGACCCCATGCATTGTCGGGCTTCCAGATTGCCTTTGGCTCTGTCACTTGTCTAACACATTTATACATACAAAATGCCCTTACAACATTCACTGGAACATTCCTGCGCACCCTGCTCTTCTAGCCAGAGTGACTGCATGGGCATTGAGAGTGCGGACGAGACCTCAGAGGGGACACTCCCTTCACCTGCCTCCAACATGAGGGCAGAGGAGAGAGCGGCTGGAGGACACAGTGCAACACTGACGTGCACACGCGCAAACGGGGAATGACTCTCTCCAGGCCAGGCTCTGACAACAGAGTTTGACCTGAGCCTTCACGCCTGGCCTGGGGGAAGAGGGCCCTCGATGGCAGCACAAAAATAAGCAGTATCTGTGTTGCAAAAACACTCAACGGAAGTTAAAAGTTTAAAAATGTAGAAAATACTCACAGTCAACAGATACAAAAAGAGCTCGCATAAGAAAATACCCAAAGACCAACCCTGCAGTAAAGGAAATGGGTGGACGACAGGAGCAGGTGGACCCTGCAGAGACAGGAAGGAGCCCAGACCCCAGGAGCTGCACAGACTTCCTGGGGCGGGGGGAGTCCATGTGGTTTTGACTTTACACTTTCTTTCTTTTATTGCTTGGCTTTTCTACATAAGTAGGTTGACTCTTTATAATCAGAAGTAAACCATAAAGCCGGTTTTCCCAGGAATCCTGTTTCCCCTGCCCAAGCTCCCCAAGGAAACTGGCCCTGTCATCTGCGAGGTGGCAGCTGCAGAAGGAGCCACAGAAGCTTCTTACCATGCTTCTTCCCTCCTTTCCACTCTCCTTCGTATCGGAAGAAAGAATTTGGGTATACGTAGACACCATAACCTGAATGTTGAAAAGATGCGCACAAGTGAGCGTGGGACACACAGTCACGGCACTGACATTCAGCAGACATTTGGAGGCGGGGCAGTCTCTAGCTCTGAGGGTGGGTGTGCAGCTCCCTCCGGGGCCTTTCGAGGTGCCTGTGCACTTCAGCTCCAGCAAACTCGCGGACACTGCTGCTCACAGGCTCAGCGTGGGCTTCATGAGTTTTCCTGTTTACTGCTGGTCCATCCACTGGTTCCTTTACGTATGCAACGTGGATGAGAAGCTGCCTGGTGCTGAGGAGACAGGCCCAGGGAGAGGAGGGCTAGTGTACAGTGAGAGCAGGTCCCTGAGAGAGCAGCAGTGTCTGGGAGGTGGCAGTGGGGGTGGGGGTGGGGGCATCTTCCTGAAAAGGGAACATGTGAGCTGAGCCAGGAAGGATGAGCCATGAGCCAGCTGAGAGCAAAGGGGTGGCAGCAGCGAGTGTACAGAAAAAGGAGCAGGACCCTCCCATCCCTGTGCTGGGACCCTTCAGTGGTGTCCCATCCCCATGGGGCAAAATCCACACTTAAACGCAAGGAGGGCCTGGCCAGCGTCATCTCTTCCCACCAGCTGCTGCGTGCACCACCTCCCCACTCCCGACTCCCGAATCCAGCAGCTCCTGGATGGGCAGCGACCCCTCCCCACCAGCTCCCCTGCCTTCAAGGCACAACTTGGGGGCAGGGGATATGGGAGGAGGGCAGGGGGTGACCGCAGTCTCCTGCATTTGCTATAAATCGAGGTCTGCTTCCACCCGAAGATACTTAGTTCATTCCAGACATGTTTCTTCGATTTTAACAGCTCGGATTAAAAACGCCCCGTGAAACGCGCGCCCTAGCTTTCCCCGAGAGCACCAGCCAGGAAGTCAGGAGGCTCGGCGCCCGTCCCCGCCTTCCCACTCCTCACCGCAGCCACAGGGCCCGCGGGAGCCCTCGGTGTCCGCGGCCCGCTGGTGGGGCCTGTGGCCCGGACCCCCGCAGCCCGGAGCGGAGGAAGGGAAGGCGGCGACCAGGGCGGGCCCGATGCGCGTGGGAAGGCGAGCCCGGCCGGAGGGCGGCATGCGGCGTTGGCCCCGGCTCAGCGCGGGCTCCCGGACTCCCACTCCCCACGGGGACGCTTGGGGGGCCAGGGTTACAGCGACCGAGCCCCGAATAGAGCCCAGGACAGCGGCGACCCGCCCCCGGGCCCAGGCCGGGCCGCAGTCTTTACCGTCCCGTGGCGGCCGCGTCCGCGGATCCCGGCGCGGTCCGCAGGAGGTTGGTGTCTCTTCGCCGGCCGCCGCCATCTTGCCGCCAGGGGGTTCCCTTAGCAACCAGCAAATCCCTCTCCCATTGGTATCTGGCCGTGAGGAGGCGTGGCCGCGGGGGCCCAGTCCCTGGGCGATCGCAATCCCTGGAACGGATTTGGCTGGGCCCGGAGCCAGAGGACGCAACTGCGCCTGTGCAGTGCGGCGCGTTTCCGCCGCTTCAGTCCCTTCCGCCGAGGGGACTGCCCCGCCAACGGCCTCGGCGGCAGCACCGGAAGCGGAAATGGTTGGAGCTCTTGGCCCCGCCCTCGCGGCCATCTTGGAGGCCGTGGAGGCGGTGCCGCGGAGGACGGAGCGGAAGTTCACGCTGCAGCTTCCCGGAGCCCGAGCGAAGCGCCGGCGGCCGCCCCTGCCCCGCCGTCCTCCTTCCTGCGGCCGCGAGGAAGACCGCGGCTCGGCCGCAGCGGCGCTGCGAGGTGCCAGGGGCGGGGCCGGTGCGGGCTGCGTGGCGCGGGAACGGCCGGGCGGCGCCGCCTCCTCCTCCTTCCGGGCTGTCAAGGCCACGGGCGGGCGGGGCCGAGCCGAGGGCCGGGCCGGGAATGGTCGTCGTGGGGCCGTGAGAGCACAGGCTGAGCCCGGGCCCGGCAGGAGGCCCGCGAGGAGCCGGGAGACGAGGCCGGGAGAGCACAGGCTGAGTCCGGGGCCGGGCAGGGGCCGGTGGGAGAGCTGCGAGCCCGCTCTCCCTGACCACTCTCCGCTGCCCGCCCTGCAGGGGCATGTGGGGAAAGTGGTCAGTTGCGGTCCCTACAGCTCCGTGAGAATTGGGATGGATTTGTGCGGCGATGTCCTCTTGCCTTCCCATCGCTGTATTCCTTATTAGGGCTTATCTGTAGGATTTATTATTAAGCCTTTGGGTGAACATACTGAACGGCGTGAAGGGGAACTGGTTAAATCCGTCAAGATTGTATTTTGATAGTATTCCAGATATAGGCAATAAATTGTAAATTCTCCAGGCTGACGTGTGTACTGGTCAGTGGTCCTGCTGATAAAGTTAACATTTGCTTCCTTGCCAGGGCACCTTACACCCCACAGGGCTGCTTACAGCCTGAGAACCTTCAGCGTGCTTTTCTTCCTTTTCTCTTTAGAGACTGGCTATTGGTCCTAGAAGTGCTTTATTCTTAGTTGGGTTGACGTTTCATAGTAAGATGGCACTCTCCCCATGAGTGAATAAAGGGTCCTCAGTAACTGAGACTCACACGGTCACTCGGCTCCTTATGTGTGCTGGCGGTGACCTCACTCAAGGTACGGTGTAAGGGCCAGGTGAAGGTCTAAGATGGTCAGGCCCAGAGGAGGGAGGAGCCCAGGTTGTGGCCTTGGGAAGAAGGAAGAGTTAGGGTCTAGAACGGCATTTCAGAGGAGGGAACAGCGTCAGAGGCCTGAACCGTTATGCAGAAGATCCAGGGGCTTTCCTTGTCCAGGAGGAATTTGGGGGTGGAGGTGGAGGGAAAGGCAGCAGGACCCAAACTGTCGATGGCCCCATGTGCCTGGCCGAGGACTTTACTCTTTCTGTGGACCGCTTCCTGTGTTAGGAGTGAGGGACCACAGAAACCATTCAACGTAATGGGCTCTAGAACAAGGCCTGTGTGGAGTTTTGTGTAGAGTTTCTGGCATGGTACTCATGGTCTCTGCTTGGAATGGTTTTATCTTTTTCTTTTCTTTGTGACTGGGCACGAAGCAGTTACACTCAACAGTTAATTTACTGGCTGCCTGCTGTGTAACGGGCACTTCCAGCTGGTGGGGCCCAGCCCTGGACCAGACAAGGGCCCCCCAAGAAGCTTGCATTCTAGTACGAGGAAATTGAGAAGTAAAGCAGAGAGGTAACAGAAAACAGCTGTTACATAAAATATAATGAAGGGTGATACGACATGAGGGAGTGGTGTGGTCAGTTTGGACAGTCATGGAGGGCCACTCTGAAGAGGTGGCCTTTAAACTGAGCCTCAGAGGGAAGAGGGTTGCAGAAAGACCAGCTGGTGCAAGGTCCAGCCCTCACCCAGGAACAAGTCTGACGTGTTTCAGGGGCCGGCACACTCCCTGCGTGCCAGGCTCTGAGGGCTTATCATGGGCTGACTCCTCAGAAGAGCCCTTTGGGGACGGCAGTGAATAAAAGAGATGTCATCCCATTTCCCAGATTGGAACCCGAGGCATTCTTAGGTAGCTCGACCAGGTCACACTGCTAGAAAGTGACAGAACTGGGATCTAAAGCAGGCAGTTTGAATCCAAAGTTCACATTCTTAATCACGCTACTCTACCTCTGTCCTGCTGTTATTGGCAGAGAGTTTAATCAAGATGTAAAGCCACTTTTTAATATATATGTTATATTTATCAGATAATCAGAAACTGACAAAAGCATTTATGGTAGGTTTTCTATACATTCAGTGGCAGAGTGAGAAATTCTAAGCAATCAGCTCTGCTTAGAGAACATTCTTTAATGGGATAGTCAGGTATTTTCTTTCTAATATGACTTTATCACTTCAAGTAAAAGTGCTTTAATGGTAAACACTTTGGTCAGATAAAATAAGCAGACATTTGTAAGGACTATACAGTGAAGAATATGATTGAAGTAGCTTTCTGCTGGCCCGGCTTTGGCCTCAATGGCTGGCCATTCTAGGTGATTAATTATGATGTAGCCTCTATTTAAATATGGAATTCTCCCCAGAATATAAAAATGCACCTCGTGAAAAGTAGATGGGAAGGACCTGGGGGCCACAGTTTGGCTGTTTGGTTAAATTGTGTGTCTTTGGTGTACGCAGCTCCAAGGGGCATTTCTTGGTCTCCTCCTTGAGAGTTCCTGGCGCTCAACCTGATGGATCCAGGGAATGGTGTCATGGAATCACATTCACACTTCCCAGTGTGGACTTGATGATGTGGCCTAGTAAAACTGCTCAGATAACTTCATTTTATTTTTTTGGAGACAGGGTCTGGCTCTGTCGTCCAGGATAGAGTGCAGTGGCATCATCCTAGCTCACAGCAACCTAAAACTCCCGGGCTCAAGCGATCCTCCTGCCTCAGCCTCCTGAGTAGCTGGGACTACAGGTTTGCCACTGCACCTGGCTAATTTTAAAAATTTTAAAACCTGTTTTTGTAGAAACAGGTTCCTGCTGTGTTGCCCAGGCTGGTCTCAAACTCCTGGGCTCAAGCGATCCTTCCACCTAGGCCTCCCAGAGTGCTGGGATTCCAGGTGTGAGCCACCTCACCTGGCTGATAACTTTAATATTTAGGTTGTAATTGGAAAGTGTATCCACTTGAGGTCCAGATCATACCCTGTAGCCTGCTGACTTCATTTCAAAAAGAGGCGGATTTTCTAAGCGCTCGCAGTGAGGATGTGATTTAGAAGGTATTAGTCTCAGGCAGGTGAGGGTTTCAGTTCCAGCCCCACTGTGAACTGGCTGATCGGCTGGGGCAACTCTTTAGCCTTTGTGAGCCTCAGTTTTCTCATCTGTAAATGGGAACAATAAGATAACCTCAGGGGTTGCTGTGGAATGATGTCTGTGCCTTTGTGTCTGGAGTTTAATAGAGTTTCATTTTACAGATGAGGAAACTGAGGCCGACTACGTGGCCAGAGGGTTTGCTGAAGGTCTCACAGCCATTCGGCACAGGTGGGACTTAAAACCAAACTTGAAACTGAAGTCTTATCCTCTTCACCTGCATGGCAGCAGGTGGCGTTTGGGCAGCTGCCACGTACAGAATTGCAGGTGACAGTGAGCTTTGCCCCCGTCATCTTCCCTAGCCTAGGGCCCACAAGGATCTCATCTTTAAAGTAGGAGTGACAGCTGGAAAGCCCTGGTGCCTCAGGGGTGCTTTCCCGAAGAATGGCGAGTCCAGCGAAAACGTGTCATCTCAGCATAGGGTGGCAGCGTGCTCAGGTGAGGAGCCAGGTGTCAGGCTGGGCTGTGGGCGTGCCCAGGAGCAGAGCTGTTGCGTGACCTTGGACACATGGCTTGGACTATTTGGAACTAGTTCCTCCTTTATGAGAAAGGGTAATGACGCCCCTTCGCTTGTTCATCTGGGAATTAAGTGGGATAATGTATGTGACCTCTGGCCCCTGGGTTCTCAGGTGAATTCCGCGTGGAACCACAGCAGCATGGTGAAATAGCACAGATTTGATCGCCTCCACTTGTCAGAGGAGAAACTGGAACACAGATAGTTGGATGACCTGAGAGTTGTAGATGACGTGTTCCTGTTCAGGGACCCTTCCTGTTCCTGCCAGACCAGAGACCCAGGACAGGGCATAGAGAAGAGGGGGTTCTTGGGGGGCCCCAAGGGATCCGCAGAGGACAAGGGCCCTGGAGGGAGGGTGTGCAGCACGGTGCTGGGCCAGCCAGGGACCAGGGGGGCAGCAAGGGTGGCTCCTGCTGCTGGAGGGCTGGATGGCACCACGCATGTGGGAGCGCGGTGCTAGCAGTGGGAAGGACAGCTCGTCCCGTGCTGCCTGGCGTGGTCACCTGGTGCTGTCCCTTCCCTCCTCCAAAGCCTGTGTGCTTGTGTGTGTCTTTTTCCTGAACGTTTCATGGTAAAAACACACAAAGAAATGGTGTGGATGAAATAGTGAATATTGTAAAAACCTACTTGGCATATGGGTGAAAATAGGACCAAGTTTTTACATCCCTGAATGCTTTTTATTTAAAAGTATTTCATGTTTTTCTCAGTTACAGAATGTCCGAAGGGGACAGTGTTGGAGATTCCGTCCATGGGAAACCTTCAGTGGTGTACAGATTTTTCACGAGGCTTGGACAGGTTGGTGGGTTTTTATTTGTAGAAGATTAGTATAAATATTTGAAATAGAAATTATGGACTCCTGACACATTTTCCTGAAGGGTGTGTTTGCTAACGCTCCTGATGGAGGCCGGGCAACGTCTTCACTGAACCATAGGTCTGAAGACAGCTCTTCACTGCGAACACGCGCGCTTGTGTTTTCTGTCGAGGGCCAGATGCGAAGAGCTTAGGCTTTCGAGGCCACACGTGGTGTCCACCCACATATGTGTTTTTCGGTCCTGGCTCCCAGGAGGTACAGACACAGTAGTGGCGGCTGCTCTGCCCCTGCCATCCCCTCCCTGGACACCCGAGTCCACATGGGCTGGGAGCCCTCGCCCTGCCTCTTCTCTGCAGACGGCTGCTGGACGTGGCTCCCTGGGCATGAAAGGTTTAGGTGTTGGTCAGGTGGATGTAGGTCTCGGTGCCTGTGGGCTGTGTTGGAGGTTGCCTGGCAGAGCACCGGGGCCTAGGACCGCATTTGGACACGGTGTGTCTGATTCAGTGAACAATTACGGGGCCTAATATCTCAGCACAATTAGAAATTTATGGACTTTTTAATTAAAAAATAGTGTATGGAAAACTATTGATAATTATTGAAGTTGGATATGGGTATGTGTGGGCTCATATATTCTCTTCTGTGAATGTTTGAAAATTTTCATAATTAAAATTTAAAAATTAAATTTAAAAATTAAAATTAAAAGCACATATATGTAAAAATTAAAAAAATATATAAAACTAAGGGTTCCCTCGGTAATTTCCACAGCTGCCTCGGTGCACGCACGCGCAAGCTCTGTTGCCGGGGCAGGCGGAAGGGAAGGCCCCGTGGAGAAGTGGGCTGTGGGAGGGGGCGTGGCAACGAGGGCTATGCTGTGAGGTGGGAGTTTGGGGTGCAGTCCTCTCTCTGGGTGAGGTCAGGTCTCCCCCACCACCATCCCTTTGGAGCATCACAGCCACTCCAATGAGAGATTGTTTGTAGTATTTTTGCTTAGGAAATGAACCTGCCTCAGGAATTACTGATAATTTTTGGATTGATTGTGGTCATTGCTTTGTGCCAGTACATGTATGATCCACCATATCTTGCTATTTTATTTCATTTTTTCTTTCTCTCTTTTCTCTCTCTTTCTGTCTCTTTTCTCCCTCTCTATGTCTTTCTCTTTCTCCCTGCCTCCCTCCTGTCCTGACAGGGCCTCGCTCTGTCGCCCAGGCTGGAGTGCAGTGGCGCAGTCACAGCTCACTGCAGCCTTGAACCCTTCGGCTCTAGGGATCCTCCTGCCTCAGCCTCCCTAAGTGCTGGGACTACAGGCGTGAGCCATGGCACCCTTCCTCTTGCTGTTGTAATTAGCTCTTTAAAATGGAAAGCTGGCTACAGCAGAGAGTACACTTTCTAGCAGAGTTTGGTGCAGGAGCTACAGGGTCCACTTCATGCTTTTGAACCTTGTCTTTCTAGATTTATCAGTCCTGGCTAGACAAGTCCACGCCGTACACAGCTGTGCGATGGGTCGTGACGCTGGGCCTCAGCTTTGTCTACATGATCAGAGTTTACCTGTTGCAGGTAGGTTTGGGTTGAAATGACGGACTTTGTTCTGTTCATTTATCTGGGTGTGGTGTGGGTTGGCGTGTTGTTGGTCCAATTTATCTTGAAGGACATGGTCTTTAATAATCACTTTTTTTTTTTTTTTG